TGAATAGCCAGCAGGGTCATGGAGGCATGCAAGCCATCACACTACGTCAAGGCGCAGTCTCGTCGTGATGGTCTCCGTGCTTTAAAAATTCTGTGAATCGCACCTGGGCGATAGCTATCAAACAGGCTGGTTCAATACCACGGTTAACCCATCGGGGCCTTGTGTGGCTTATGTTACTGGGGTTTACTCCGTCTGTTGTTTATCACACTCAAGTGTGTAACAAAAAGAAAGCGGGAATTGAATCAGCCAGTTTACGAGCAGGTGTCCCGGTAGCATTGACATACGCCACGAACGACAGCGGGCTAGGAGGAGAGTCTTAATGTACTCTAGTTGTGGCAATATAAGAGGTAGATAGCGTCCTGTGGGGCACTAACTTTCTTATAGATGGGAAAAATATGAAATTGAATTTCAGCTCAACAAAAACTATAAGCATACCTCGAAGTTAATTCTTCTTAATCTATAAATAAGTTATAAGATTTATACGCGAAATAAATCAGTGATGAAAATTATTACAGGAAGTTTGTCGTTACTTATTGTCACACACAGGGGTGACGCACAGAAATATAGTCGGGTTTTGAAAAAGCAGGCTGACCATCGAAATCATACTTTTGTATATCTACGGTCTAACACATTGGAGATACACAACGCGTTACCTCACTTTAAGGTGCAGTTTCTCTGTAGTGGAAGGCACTTATTTACGGACTTTCTAACCGAGGCAACCACCGATTGCATCAGATCAGTTTCTCATCCGCAGTGCTCTTTGTTAGCAGAGTTTTATTTTTATGTTTTGGAATGTTTTATCATGGAAGGAGAATTAGAACCTTGCGTTTTCATTGGTCCACTTGACTAAGAGAAAGCTTTGACAGTGATTTCTCAGGTTTCCAGACTAACACCATATTGTTCTGACTGATTTAGCACGATGATGTCATTTCCTTAACTCCATGAACTAAACTAAATAAAAGCCTACGCAATCGTGTAACGGATTAAGACTTCATAATATTTTTATTCCGCACCTTCTGCAGTTCAAATTAACCTCCAATTTTCCTCTTCCATGACTTTTCCTCCTCATGTCGTTGAACCTGCATAGCATGCGCCCAGAAAGATTTCTTACCTTTGCCGTGCAAAATGGCTTTCCACCGCTTCTCATCTCACTCGTTACAAAGCCCAAATACGTCCTACTTTGAAGTTCCATGGCCTCATTTTTTTGAGATCGCGTTCAACGTAAAGCTATTCGCCTTGTCGTCAATTCGTTCCCGTTACCCACACTTGAACTACTTTCTGGTCACAATACGTTTGCTTCCGTCTCCCTTTTCTGCCGTTATTTACCCAGTGGAGCTTACTTATTTGGATCCTTCAGTCCCGCGCTCGCCTTGAACTGCTGGGTTCCTAGAACCGTGGAATTGTGCATCACTCTTCCTGACTCTATTTTCCCTTCTTCTTTAACCTTTAGACGGTCAAGCGCTGAGTTATCAAGTTGTGTTTTGGATGAATTTTCTCCCATCCCCGCTGCACACTGG